CGTGACTTCATTTTAAAGCTTGTCTCATATTCCATCGGCCCTTTCTGGTTTATTTTTTATTTAATATCATCGACATGTCACTGAAACAGATTTTGACGCCTTCCCTGGCCGTAAGACGAAGAACCCTAGCGAGAGTATGTAAGGAATGCTAGGAAAATTTCCTACCATTTCTCTGCGGTACTTACAGTAGAAGCCCTGTGCGTCCCGTCATGAGGTAAACTGAAACTGTTTCACCCTGAAAAACATCCACTGGAAGTATCCTGATAATATTTTTAACTTATAGCTCAGTTAGCAACAATTTACAGTCTCTGATCCGATGGAGTGCATCTTTAATAAGATAAATTCTTAAATGTGTGCTCTGTCCTGGTGCCTGGTGTGTAGGCGAACAAGTGAGCTACTGCACTACACTGCTTCATCTTAGTTGATTACTTTTAAAAATTAGGGTTAGGGTTGCATTTTAGTTATTTACTTTTAAGGGAAGAGGGTGATTAATAGAGATGGTTTCTAGAGTTTTAAGAAGGTTGAATTATAAGTGAGCTTATTACAGAGCTACAACTATCTTACTCGTGAGAGGGGCATAATAGAGATTACAGCGAGTCAGACATCAATGTGGTCTGTACACTTTGCACTTTTATTGCCCTTGTTTTAATTTTTAAGGCCGGCTACATTTGTTATCATTTGAGTTCAAGAGGGCTGAATTACAAGCGAGCTTATTACAGACCTACAACTATCTTATTCGTGAGAGGGGCATAATAGAGATTACAGGGAGACATCAATGTCCTCTGTACACTTCACACTTTTATCGCTTTTTTTTAATCTCCAAGGTGTGCCACATTTGTAATTATTCGAGTTCAAGAGGGCTGAATTATAAGCGAGCTTATAAGAGACCTACAGCTATCTGACTAAGGAGAAGGGCTTAAACGAGATCACTGCGAGACATCACTCTAGTGTCGAAGCCCACTTTTATTACTTTCTGAATTTCTAACGCCAGCTACATGTATGTGCATTCCGGCATTTCCTCAACTTACTGAGGTAACAAACAACAACTTAATTAAGTGAAGACCCCGGTGTTGAATAACCATTCATGCACGCTTGCGAACATGGATTATGAGAATTCCTCGTTTAGGAAGCATTTACAGTGACACTATGTCCAATACTAAGATCTCTTCCATCAAATGTGTACGTTTGGCCATCGTCCCTGATGATGATCTAAAGAAAATTATAAAAGATAGAAATCATATGTATGATACTTGTACATATTCGGTCTTTTGAGGAGGCGATGGAGGCCAGAGGCCTGGACCTACATGAAAACCAGCTGATTTGGCTTCCTCTCTAAATATTGTGAATTTGTTTTTTGTGTTTTTGTTTTTTGTTTTTTGTTTAATAATTATAAGTCGATGACCCGAACTGGAACACTTGTCATGACACTATACCTTGCTAAAGGTCCAGCCATCAAAATAACTTCCACTTGGGTTTTCCTGCAATCTAACCTTGAGCTTGCGAATAGGGCCTACATCCTTGAACGCCACAAGGTAACGGCCTGTCCTAATGTGAGAGACAATTATAGGCATATGAATTATCTTATCCAGTGTTCTTATCTCCAGAGTCAAACGTCTTGCCAGTTAATGATAGCTCAGTTTAATTGTGTGGACAAAAGCTCGGGGAAAGATCTGTTTAATCGGTTCATACTACATATGTGGATGAAATACTAGTGTGCGACCATTCAAATGAAAGATAATCTAAATGACTTCGATCAATACTTTCATATGGTGCTATTTATTATAACGTTATAAAATGTGGATTAAACTCCGCTTAGGCTGAGGGCGGGAGATGAATGACATTTGAGGCTAGGGGTTCATTCGTCAATTGCTGCTTGTAGGTTGGTAAAACAACAACTTTATTTACACTCGGACTTGTACCAGACTAGCTAATATTAAATTACAAAAAAGAGAGTACTGGCTGCCCTAAATAACCTTAAGGGGCTAAACTTTAGGCTATTCTACGTCATCTAACCTTATATGACAGTTGCAGTATGCAGTAGATATGGAAACCTTAAAGCTGATTGGCCCAAAATTCAGTAAGCATACACGTGTTTTTCATGATTAATTTCTACTCTATTTTGTGTTGTAAATTACACCTTGCAAATGCAGTTGCATTCTTGCACAAAACTCAACATGTATCGTTTCATCTGTGTTTAATAATATAAATTATGACACCCAGTTAGGTCATCTTTGCCAGCTAAATATAGTCTCTTACTTTCCAGATTCAAAGTCGTCATGGTAACCACCTTTCGCCACGTTACTCTCTCCAGATCTCTTATCACCTTCACCGATCAGCTCGAGGTACAGAAAGGCATTTGTGCCATCCAGGAAGCCGTTTCCGGTTTGTACTGTCACCTCCATGTTTTTATCTGAATAACACACCACAACGTGAGCTACAGAGCACCTTCGCTTTCAGCTGTCAGCCACGCCAACATCAACCGCGTTATGGTTTTAATTTCTCAGGGAAATAAACGTGACTGTCCCTCGAGAGGTACGTTAATTGCGTCCATATTACAGTGGTATTTGTGTCAGATTGCATCGAGCTTTCATCAGAACAGTTACATAACGTAAAGTTTGGATCAGAAGCTTCTCAAACTCATTAATAATTCATCAAGTTAAAACAAAGAAAATCACAACCGTGAAGGAGGTTTGGATATCCGGTCTTAATTAGCATAGATTTTGACGATTTTACTTCTCCGTTTACTCCTTATTTTTTGCTTCGATTGAGAAGATATATCAAACACTGGAGACAGTGTTTCATCAGCTATCCAAACACCTCGAATTTCGTCAAAAAACTCCGTTGCGCGTCGTCTTTTCAACTCTCTTCTCGATGTTTGGATATCCCGATGATACACTGTCTCTCGTGTTTGATATATTACATATCACCTAGAACAAGGTGATATGCTTCTGGTTTGGATCTAATGGAGGTTTTAGCTATCTTACGACACACGTCCTCGAAATATTAAAATACATTTTCCACCAAAACTGAAAAGATCTGTTAGGTTTCGACCAAGCGATCACCACTGAAGTAACGAGCGAGAAATATTAGTGTGTAAAGAAATAATTTTTCGGTTCAAAATTTCAGAACTTAGGGCATGGGAGCTTAACAGTGTTCCTCAAATCAACTGATCCAACTGAATAGCACAATACCGCCCCTGGTCCACTCACCAAAGCTTTGCATTTATTTTACTTACATAAATCGCCACTCCCAGAACACTGGTACAGCTTGTTAATCTTCATGATGTCAGCCGCTGACATAGCGTTTTGGTTTCCAAGCTCCATATTAGGATCTGACCTCGCTTGCATTGTTACCAAGCCTGCTCGTTTAGCGAAGGCGGTCTTCTTGTACTGCATGATGGAATGCAGGTCGTAATCAAAGCCCAAATTATCCATGAAGTCGGGTTGATATATCCTCATGACTTCTTCCTTCCACCCTGTGGTTTGCAAAGACGTAATTATAATGATCATTTCTCTTCTTGGTTTACAAGGGATTTTGGGATAGGCAAAGGCAAAATAACTCAGCAAAGTCAGTTGTTGGGACAGAAACTTGCTCATGACGAAGTTTGTGGTGAAGAAATTAAATAAGTCGCAAATGTTAGATAACTTTTTGCTAAGCTTCGTCACCCATTTTGATTCACAGCTTCTGTAGTCAAACATGGCGGCCATGCAAGATAAATTAAGCACATCACATTTTTAAGGCCCGGGTCAAACGTCGAACTTCACATGAGACGAACTAAACTAAGCGAATTAAGTTCATAATAAAGTTCGAGTTCGTCCGACTGAATTTAGATCGACCAACACTTTTTAATTGGTCGATTTAAATTCGAATTAAGTTCCACGTTTGACCGGACGGTCCAGCTTCCCCTTTTGGATCGACTCAAATTGCAATTTAGTTCGTTCCATGTGAAGTTCGACTTTCGACCTGGGCCTAAGTTCCAAAATGTGGCATATCATTCTACCTATTACTGGGATTTATCACTTTCACATTGAAAGAATTGCTTTGCAAAAGTCGATTTCGTTTTCCTGTTACTCTATTCAATTGCATCAAATTAAAAAAAAAGGCTATAGCAGTGCTCGAATACTTTCCAAAAAGTATCCTTCGACATATATGTCAGTGTTCAAAAAAAAGTCGTTTGGAAGAGTGAAAATATTACGTTTTGTGCAATACAAAAACCTCCGTTCATTGCTATCACGAAAACGCCCTAAAAGAAAGCGCGCTAGAATTTGTGCTTCAACAACCCTACGGCTCTCGGGTTCCAGCCGCACTTTTCGTTAAAACAAACTTCTATTCGAGTTTCTACAACTCGGTAGAAACACGGAAAACGTTTCCTATTGCTCAAAAAATATTTACAGGCGGATAGAATTAAAGACACATGACGTACCTTGAGCGATGTTTTCCTCAAAAATTTGTATATAGTCATCCCGGTCAGCTCTGTTGTGTTCGTCGTAAAACCCCAGCAAATAAACTAGCTCGTGTAAAATTGCTCCTTTGTTTTCGCAACCCTGGCCAACAAAGACGATTTCCTTTCCTTCTCGCTTCCCAATTGGAGAGGAACAACTGAAAATAAAAACATTCCAAAATTCTAATAATAACCAGAGACAACTTAAAGGAAGTTGCATTTTTTTAAAAATCCTAGATGGGCAAACTATTGGTTCTACGTTGGTCATCATTTTTGCCCGGTTTCCATAAAACTTATATAGCCTAACTCTGTTTGGTTTTCATCTTTCCTTATCTCCGTGTGCTCGATACTTACCCTGAACCAGGTTCAAAACTAACNCCCCCCCCCCCCCCACCCCGGGACGCTATCCTACGTGGCCAAGTGCGTGACTGTTTTGAACTTTACGAACTCTGAATTTCTTAGTTAGAAACAAACGATCGAAGCAAGCGCATGAGAGGAAACACGGATCGGACTTCCTCGTGCGCAGATCTCCGGTTTCATAAACATGACATTATATGTAAATCTAACGCTGAATGAAAACAACTGCTTTTTATTAGCTTTTGTTTGTACAGCAGGTTCTGAAGTTCTAGACATTTGTAACGGTTTAATATGTACAAGCTATGGACCAAACCAGAGACAACTTAAAGGAAGTTGCATTTTTAAAAAATCCTAGATGGGCAAACTATTGGTTCTACGTTTGTCATCATTTTTGCCCGGTTTCCATAAAACTTATATAGCCTAACTCTGTTTGGTTTTCATCTTTCCTTATCTCCGTGTGCTCGATACTTACCCTGAACCAGGTTCAAAACTAACATAGTCCTCCTGTATGGTTCGGGGAAGAAACCTGACACAAGTTGCCGCCTGTAAATCCTGAATGGCGCGTTTTAGTTCTGATTCTGCTTTGGAATCTAGGCCTGTGTTTGATGAAAAAAATCTAGTTAACACCAGCTGATTAATAACTGAATTACCGACCGATCAAGCGACTGATTGACCTACCGACTGGCTGGCTGACTGACTGACTGACTGACTGACTGACTGAATGATTGGCCTACCGACTGCCAGACTGACTAACTGACTGGCTGGCTGGCTGGCTGGCTGGCTGGCTGGCTGGCNACTGACTGGCTGGCTGGCTGGCTGGCTGGCTGGCGGGCTGGCGGGCTGGCGGGCTGGCTGGCTAGCTGGCTGACTGACTCACTGACTGAATGACTGACATGCAGACAAACAAACATACAGAAACACAAACTTGCCGGGCAGGCTGGCACATACCATTGTCCACAACGAAAGGGATCCTGACAACAGGTTTTCCATCATCAGTGGAAGTAGTCCATCTGAGGGTAGCGGAACGGACCGCACCCCTTTTAGCTAAAACTCTGCTATCTTCCACAAATGGTTTCCTGAGATCTACAACAAAAGCGCACATTTCTCTGTTAGGTTAAGTGTCAAACGTGTTTTAATAGTCTACAAACAACCAAATTTGAATGGCTTAAAGGAGCCATCACGAACTGATTCCAAGATTTTAAGAACATGCATAATTTAGTAATTGGTGAAATTTTTAGTCCTTTTGGGTGTGATAGTAAGGGAGACACTACCTACAAAAAATTGCAAGCTTTTTGGGTGGGAAAAGGGCTAATGAGCCCATACATTCTCTGTAAAAGGAAAACCCCGCGTCATAGTTAAATAATACATCTTTGTAAATATAATTGTTGGGGCTGTTAATTGTATCATGCTTTTCAATGTTGAGTAAATATTTCTGTCGCTCGATTAGAAACTAAAGTGTAAAGAAAGATTCACTCATAATAATAAGGGGACTGCACTTTCAGCAACGCAGCTGTTTCCATGAAACGGACTCGACAAATTAACTGCAGATTTCTGAAACTGTCTCGTTCTTAATTTTAACAGTATCGATTCTAATCGGGCCGTCTATAAACTAATATTATAATTTGCTGCAAATTAAACTTTTAATCGTGTTCCAGGGGTACATCCTTTGTTTATTGTTTCACATGATTACTGTGAGAGTTCTCTTGGACCCGGATAAAATTTCTTGCGTGGACTTCATCAATTTCTGCTGGTTTGGGACGCGCAGCGTGTCCCATATTCAGACGTTTATTTGGACGGTATTACACAAGGTGGTAAAACAACGGGGTTATTGATTTGTCTCTGAATGTGTTGTAACATGTAGATCTGACTTTCTGTCGTCACTTTGGGAGAAATAACGTTCTGATCAATTACAAGACGGGATTTCCTGTATTTTAGGTTGTTTTGGACGTTCGAAGAAGTTCTTGTACCAAATATTTCAAATGCTAAGCTGGAGTGTTGAACCATGGAGTGTTGAAAGTTCAATGGCAAATTTTAAAATCTGAAATATGTGTACATCGCGAATTACTTGAATTACGCGAATTACAACCGTATTAGCGACAAAAGGCAATTTTGTACTTTTAGCACGAGTTCGTACGTTCTGAAAATTCAAATGATACACTTTACCACTGCCCGTAATGATAAACAAACAAAAAACTCCTACCTACCTAGCCTTATGACATCTTTTACTGGATTCGCTTCAACGAAAGCAAGCGTTGTAAATATTAGCAGCAAGATTTCTTTTCTTACGAGCATGACGATTTTCGTACAAACAAAAATTATACTTCACGCCGGTAAAAATGCGCGTCCTGTGTGTAGCTAAAACGTCTGCCCGCTGTTAATAAACTTGTCTCCCTTTTGATAAGCAAAGAGCAGATGTTTCTCTCTTTAAATGACCAATAACAATAACAAAAACAGTAATGATACTAAGCTATGAATTAAACCTAAAGAAACTGTGATTGTTGACTGTATAAATGTACACTTCAACAATCCCACGTGAAACGGAGTCCACATTTAATTATTTAAACTTGCTGGGGGAAAGAAATTCAAGTCAGATAACCTAACTGAGATTTATTGTTTTCTTAGCATAAGATTTTTCTACCAAACCAAATATAAATTTCCATTGAGGGGCATTTAAAAGTAGGTCACAAACAACATGAAAAGGTCAATTCCTTTGGCAGTCTATTGAATTCTGATTCCAAACAAACGTCAATCAAGTTTAATAGCTTTTCAGTTGCACTAAGAGAGACAGATCTCAATTTGTCCCTTGGCAACATTCAAATTTAACAAGTTTACTACACTAAGAAATGGAAATAGGGGAATTCCCTGATTTCCTGTCGCCACTAATCCAAACACAAAATATTCCACCAAGTTTTGATCATTCGTATTGTTTTTCATTATCACTCTTGAAACTTTTATTTACACAATCCCTTATTAATCTCGCTAATTACGTTTTTTCCTTCCGCTTAATGTCTTTTTTACCCTTACTTTTCAATGGTTTTTTTAAATAAGCTTTGCTTGTCTTCGGTGGCAGCAGTCAACAACGTATACTGCTCCAGATTTTTTTCACATTTTTAAACACTCTAAAAATACTACTGTTATACCATTAACTGAATTTCCCACATGCAAAAACAGTTGTTTTGGCCATTAGAAACATTGGTGTTGATTGAACCTATTGACGATTGTCAGCCTTGATCAGCAAATATTGTCATCAAGGACATACATCCCCTGTTTTTTTATTTCTGGATAATATTAGTTTGTCTGTAGTCGGTTATTTGAACCACTACCACCAAACATTTCCCGTCATTGCAACATGTTTCATCTGTTAAGGATATTTTTTTAGGTCATCGATTCTTAACTTTGAAATAGAGAGTCCGTAAAGCTTCACTTTGCATGGAATTTCTTGACGTGACTTTGATATTGCGCTTTAAGGAAAGGGCTTTAAAGCTGCTTGATATATTTTTTGAGTCGTATGCGCACTAAAGTAAGGTAAAATGATCGTGATTTCATGACTGCTCGGCAGTTCTTCCTTAAAGCAAAATATCGAACACGAAAGACCGTGTTTGACCACATTTCCAAACACCGAGAAGAGAGTTGAAATAACGCTGCGTAGCGGAGTATTTTTGACGAAATTCGAGGTGTTTGAAAATATGGTCAACCAACTGTCTTGAGTGTTTGATATATCATGGAAACTAAAACTAAAAAGAAAACGAAGAAATAAAATTGTAAAAATGTGTGATATCCAAACATCGTCACGGTCATGATTTTCTTTGTTTAAACTTCATGAAGTATTTGTGAATAATTTTTTAATTTAACTTTTTTGATATCTGACTTAGATAAACGCGAGATTTTTATGTTATCTGCATGCTTATACTATCTCGCTATTGCTATTTTTTCTTCGCCAAAACCAAAGAATACTTGTTACCGGGAAATAAGTAAAGAATTTTGACCTGAAAACGGCGGGCTAAGAATATAAATGAATGTTAGAGGATAATCAGTTAGGAATAACCATGATCTATAGATAAAGCACATAAGCAAATAAAGCTGTTTCAGAGTTCATTACACTGACTCAAATGCCTTTTTTGTTTCGGGTTGATGTGCACTATTTTGAATCAGTTGTAACAGTTGCAGCCAATAAGAGGGCGCGAAAAAGGGCCTATTCTAACAGAGCATGAACAGTAAGTTAAAATCTCGTAACTCTCTTTCTAATTCGGTAAAGTTTATCAACTACCATCACTGGTTTACACAGCTGGTGGGTTGAGTTAGTCTTTTATGATTTACATCGGAGATTCTTCACTCTTCTAGAGATAATTACAGAAAGTGTTAACTAAGGGAAAATGTCGTTACTACGATCAAATTAACTACCACTGAAAGGAATGTGCTGAGTCTGCTGAGCCAGTAGAGAGAATTTGCTTTGCGGTTTTGGTGTCTAAACGCTTTATGATTGTTGCAATTTTAGGCTGCTTTCGTTTGTAAGTGTAGATATATGGGTTATTGACCAGCCAAGATGGCTGGATGTTGGCCTCGTTCTTTTTCTGCATGTTTATGGACCTCGACTCGGCCTCGGTCCATAAACACGCAAAAAAAGATCGAGGCCAATATCCAGCCATCTTGACCGAACAAGCTTAGTCAATAAAGGATTATGGAAAAAGAACACCATTTACTTACGGGAAACAGTGGGTAATCCCGAGTGAGCACGATGCGCCATCTTAACTTACTCAGACTGGACTGGACTGTTGAGGCTGTAGTTGAGGCTTTCTCAACATTTCGAAAAGCTGTCGTTCCATTGAACAAGTCGATTAAAGTTGAAAACGTAACTTTTTCTCTCCGTTTGGGCCTTCCGTCCACACAAAAACGCCCCAGAAACGCCTTAATACATGGTAGGCGCGCAACTCTTGAGCGCGAGCAAAATTACCCGCATCAGTGTCAACAACATTGAGTGCCGACTTCATTCAGTACCAAATTCCACGAGTCAAACTGAAACACTCTTCCACCGTAATTAAATTTGACAATAACAGGTACAATAGAGAGCGCCTTAAACAAATCAGTGTTTTGCTTCTACAGGTACCAGAAGAAGCCGAAATTTTATTGTAGCACTAGAAAGCAGCTGTGTTCGTTTTGTACGAAATCGTCCGCGATTCATTTCAATCACCTTAACTCTCAATGTCTGGCTAAGTTTAGCATCAGAGTCATTCGTGGACAGGGAAACTTTAAATTCTTTCAGATACTAAACGCGGTAACTGATGTAACAAAGCATTCAATTTAAAGTCAACGGGCCTACATGCTGAGAAGAATTCGTCGCAGGTTTGGCCGGTTCCTTCCAAGTAGATGGCTTTTTGGCTTAAGCTCAATTCTCGTTATTATTTTGATCGTTCGACGCTTCAAGACAAACAGCATTCGCTTTGATATATTAACGAGGACTTCAAATTCGAAAGAATGGGAAACGACGAGAAAGATCGCACCCAGTCTACCAGCAGGCGATGTTGGCAGAAGAAAGGACTGGGAAAGATCAAGATCAGCCAGTGATGAGAATGGAAGTAGAAAACATCTTCTCAAAACAACAAAATGGCTCCATGCCTTGGAAACTGCTGGAAAAGGTAGCGTTAATGTCCATATTTGGAGAGGCCTATGCTGCCCGAAAGTAAACAGCTTGCGACAGTATCCTCTATTTCCAACTTTACCAAGAGAACGTTTGTTACGTCACACTATCAACTCTGGCCCACTTGGAACCTGGTACGGGCAAAGAATCATGGGATTCATACATCCGCCGCATACGGGATACTACACTTTTCACCTAGACGCACATGTGTATGCAGAGCTCTGGTTAAGTAAGAAAACGAATACAATGGATGTTGAATTAGTCGCAAAAATTGCAAAAGAAAATAAGAAGATCTCAGTGGCGAGACTTGTTAGTCACACTTCAAGTAAAATGTATTTCGAAAAAGGCAAGAAGTATTTCTTCGATGTGCTGCACGTAATGAACGGCTGGATGATGCAACGTGACCACGTGAATGTCACGTGGAAAATTCCAGGTAGTCAAATGTATACGGAAATTTCCAAGCAGTTTCTCTCACCTTTGTTAACTAACAAGGCTTCGTTTTCAAGCCACAAAGCGATGAAAGAGCGAGATGATTTGCTTCGAGCACCTCGCAGCGTCATTGACACGGAATTAAATGACGTTGACGGTGGGTATGACGATGAAGACTACGATGGCATGGTAGCACCTGAAAAACAGAACAAACTTTCGGACAAATTCTTAACCTATTTTGGTGAAGACTTTGAGTTGGAGAATCCATACAATATCATTGAATTCGAACTTGCAGACAAATCGGATGAGATTTTATCTGCTTTTCCAAGTTGCTCGTATGAACCAACTTACGCCAAAAAACGAACGTTCAAACGATTTGAGGGTATTTGGCGAACACATTTTAGTTCCCTGTTCCCAGATGACGGCACAAGAGAGTTCATTTGCATCGGAAACAAACAACGTAAAGATTGCGAAGGGAATGAATTCTTGACTGAGAGTGAAGTGCTGGAACTTGTTCAGATGTTTATGAAGAAAATTGATGAGAAATATCCCCGGTAGGAGCCTAGTGTTTGTTAGTTTACCTCGATGTTTTCAAGTAGTTTGCTTTTGATCGGGACAACGTCATTAGAGGTTTTCAATAGACCATATTCGTATTCTCATTTTGGACTGGAACTAGCTTGCAATTGAGGCTCACGCAACTGATAATCACTCTGGCCAATCACAAAACAGACAATCCAATAGACCAATCAAAATTTGAAGTAAATACATGTAGCTGACGCAAAGCGCGGGAAAACGTGCGCGAGCGCGTCGTGATTGATTTTGGTTTTACTTCTGATTGGATGAAAAAGTGGCGCGAGTTTCTTAATGCAAAACAAATTACTTTTTGACACCCAAATGAAAACCGCTTCTAAAGCATTCTGAGAAATTCGGAAGGATTACCACTTAACTAATTACTGAGTAACACTACATTAGAGCGACAGTGTCAAATAAGTTGCCACATTTCTTAATTCATATTTTCAGAAAATACGCTTTAAAGGCTGTAATGAACATTGAGAAAAACCGTGATGCTCTGCGAGGCAATCGATATCTGTTGGAGCTCGTATTCCGAGAACGAGCTCGGAACAATATCGTAAGGATATCGGATTTCGTGTACAAATTCCACAACAGTTCGAACTTCTGTAAACCAAATGGAATTACTTGGCAAAGGAACGTGACAGTCAACGTTATTTTAACTGTTAAGAATCAAGGGACCTGGGCCCAGTATTTTATCAACGAAATGTCTCGGATTTATGATGCGACACGTGATGACCATGTGAATATCATAGTGGTGGATTATGGCAGTCAAGATATAGATATTGCAGAAGCTTTTAAGAGGTAAGTAAGCATTTTAGATCAATGGTATAGAAGTAGAGGTGTAAATCATAAGCGAAGATTGTAAAGTGGAGAGGAAATTATATTTCCCCGGAGGGAAGGTACTTACCTGACGGAGAGATGTAGTTCTTCCAACTCTCTCGGAGACTGATACGAGCAATACTTGTGCAGAGCGCGGTCGCGCACGGTCTGGGTATCACAATTTAAAAAAGTTCAAGGCGTTCCTTGCTTCCTCTGAGAGAGTAGTGCGAAGGTCCCGAATGACAGTAACAGGGAGGGGAGGAACAGAAAACCGACACTGGTAGGGGAACAGTATTGCTCGTATCAGTCTCCGAGGGAGTTCGAAGAACTACATCTCCCCGTCAGGTAAGTACTTTCCCTCCGGGGAAATATAATTTCTTCTTCACCCCCTCTACGACTGATACTCACAATACTTGTGCAGACTTTAAGGGTTACTGACATGAGAACCATAATCCTCAACATAAACCAGACTAAATAGCCCTATCTGTTAAGTGATACACGAAACTCCTACTGAAAACCTACATAAGGCTATAAAACAGAAAACTTTCCAGGAAAGTTGTAGTCCTCAAAACATAGGACAGAAACTGATCTAGATGTGCTCAGACACCCGATAAGCAACAACACTGATAACAAAACTAATGGCCCATAGAGAAAAAGATGGGTCACCTACTGATACTTAATCACCTACTGATAAAGTAAAACTGTTCCATAGGGCCAGTTACTCTCGAACAGCAGTAAGTACTGCTCTTGCAAGCTCCCCCTTGTCAGGGGATCTCAGGTAAAAGCGCTCGAATGTCTCTGACGAGGACCAATCCGCTGCTACCAGAATAGTGTCCAAAGGAACACCCGCTCGTGCAGCTGCAGACGTAGAGGCACTCCTAGTGGAGTGACCAGTAAAGTGGCAAGCAATCCCTGCTAGCTGCATAGTTTTCTCAGCCATCTGGACATAGTTTGACTTGAGATGGGTTAAACGGTCTGACAAATGGAATCAAGAGGCGAGAAGATTGCCTCCTGGTCTCCGTCCTGGATCGAAACTCCTGTAAGGTTTTAACTACGCAAATCTTAGGATTGTCTGGGAAGGTAGGCAGATAAACTTGCCTAGCCGGGTGACCAGGTCTTGACACCTTTGTGTGTTCAGCCAAAGAGAATTCCCAGGAATCGCTCTTCATGGAGACAAAGTCCAGATCCAGTTTAATCAATTCATGTGCACGAGCAGAAGAAGTCAAGGCCAGTAATGCTGCTAATTTCAGGGATAGCATTTTTAGTGTAAGGCCAGCAGGTGGATCCAGGGTTGAGAGAAACTCGAGCAAGCGCTTAACATCCCAGGTTGAGCTCAATCGAGGAGCTGGTGGCTTCATGCGAAAAATTCCCTTCATAAAACGAGACACCACTGGAAGGTCTCCAAGC